TCTCTTCACTAATTTGATATCATTTGTGGGTTCCAGGATGCTATCCCCTTCTCCCTCAGGAACAGTACGATGTATACACTTCTTTCATGATACTTTCATGATGATACTCTTTTTTCTTAGTTGAAGAGCCCTAGCCCAATAATCTATCCTCATACATAAACAATTTGTACCTTTGATCATTATAAGGACCTTTACTAGTTCATCTATACCCTTCCAGAGATGGAGAAAACCTGAATTACATGCAGTATTCGAGATACGGATGCAGCAGGTATCTGTCTTCTACCATTCTTCTGGATTTTCATTTTCGCTTTTAATATTTGAATACTTTTTTGATCAGGTTTGAATGCTTAGCTAATATTTTTCAGGACAATGAAAATGAGTCCCATAATGACTTCACTATCTTTTTTCTGAACAAGAATAGAGGGTACTGCTGTGCCTGTACACTTCGCTATTTTTTTCTGTGCACATTACCTAGCATTTATCCACGAGTAATTTTCTGCAATTTTGCACCCAGTCATTAGTTTCATATGAGAATTTTTTTGCAACTCTTCGCAAAACTGAATAACTCTATGTCACCAGCAATCTTTATCACTAGCCTATTCATTCCATTTGTAATTATAAATCACATAGGAACTTGTTGAACAGCCGCCTTTTTACAGGTGCCATGCAGCTACACTAAGCATTCGACATCGAGTCTTTCAGCACTTTCCACACTCATCTGCCAGCGTTTTACCCTTCTGGCTTTCCCTTTCCCTTTTCCTTATGAGTTTCTTCCTTTCTGGTAGTAAACTTTTATGCAGCATTTTTTACAGCATTTTTGTTCCTAGCAGGAGGTTCGATTACGGTCACATTACAGGCAGTGAGACAATGTGGTTCTTGCACAATTACTTATTGATGTGGGCCTCACGCACCGTTTCAGACTAATAGGAGTTCTTTCCCTTTTGTGGGTTCTCAGATTAATCTTTCCAAGAGGCTTCGTGCCCCTGTGTATCATTTACACAACCTACATATGGATAATTGCAGTTTCTCAATATTGTGTTTTCTGCCCTCACAGCCCTCGCAATCTCTCTTAATAATCTGCGGTCATTTTCCCCAAGTTTATCAGAGAGTTACCTATACATCCTTATTATTACACTGCTCTTCTCTGTAGCTGTCTACCTACCATCGTTTCCTCCAGAAGTTTATCCTCATGCTTTTTTCCACAGAAGAATATTCAAAGCTTTTTAGCTGTTATGCAACCCTTGTAATAAAAGCTAGAAAAAACCCTGTAGGTTCACTACAAAAAGGGCTTTAATGAATATTCTATCATTATCATACTAACCAACACCATGCCATGGTGATGAGAACACATTCAATTTT